TGAGGGTTTAGAAGGGGGAGAATTAGGGTTTAGGGTTTATGAGGGTTTGAATGAGGGGTTATAGTCTATATTTAGTGTTTAGGGTTTAGGGTTTAGGGTTTAGGGTTTAGAAGGGTAGGATATATGGAGTGTTAGGGTTATTCTGTTTATTCTTTTTTGTGGTTATCTGCCTTTTCATATATCGACGGCTTAGGGTTTATAGGATTTAGGGTTTATAGTGTTTACTGTATAGAAAAAAAAAAAAAAAAAAAAAAAAAAAAAAAAAAAAAAAAAAAAAAAAAAAAAAAAAAAAAAAAAAAAAATAAAAAAATTAAAATAAAATAAAAAAAATAAAGAAATAAATAAATGTGTATGTGTGTGTCTTAGACGGCAAAGACAACCAAGCAATCCTGAAGCGCGTACAGTGTGGGGAGTTTTCATTTGATCCTCGTCACTGGCGTCGTATATCTGAAGCAGCAAAAGATTTAGTCTGTCGGTGTCTATCTTATACTCCAACAAAAAGAATAACTGCAGCAGAAGCACTGCAGCATCCATGGATAAGGCTTTATACAGCCCCAAATACAAGCATGCATGCATACACTTTAACCCCCCCACCCCCTCATTCCTCTTTATTTAATTCCTCTTCTCCTGCTGCTGCTGCTGGTTCTGCTGCTGCAGCAGCAGCAGCAGCAGCAGCAGCAACAAATACAGATGTTTATAATAGTTCTCTTTCTATTCGTTTAGGTTCAGATTTGATAGAAAGGTTTAAACATTTTCGTCGATTAAATAAATTAAAAAGATTAGCCATTACTTGTGTTGCATATCAACTGAGTGATAATGAAATAGGATTACTTCATGATGCTTTTTCTGCTTTAGATAAAAATGCAGATGGAGTTTTATCTATAAATGAAATATTACAAGGTTTAAAACAATGTGGCTTAGACGAAGAATATATTATAGATATACTCAAAGAAATAGATACTGATGGTAATGGTACCATTGATTATACGGAGTTTATTGCTGCTTCTATCGATCATAAAATTTATGAACAAGAGACAGCTTGTCTTCATGCTTTTAGAGTCTTCGATCTAGATGGAGACGGTAAAATATCCGTGTAAGTTTTTTTCTTTATTTTATTTTATTTTATTTTATTTTATTTTTGTTCTTTTTGTTCTTTTTTTATTTTTTTTTATCTTTTTTTTGTTCTTTCTGTCTCTGTTTTTTTTGTTGTTTTTGTTGTTTTTATTTTATCTGTTGTCTTCATGCTTTTAGAGTCTCCGATCTAGATGGAGACGGAAAAATATCCGTGTAAGTTTCTTTATTTTATTTTATTTTATTTTATTTTATTTTATTTTATTTTATTTTATTTTATTTTATTTTATT